ATTAATCACTGTAAAATAATTCTATTATCTGGATCCCCTATGTATATCTAGTTCCATACCATATTTGTCTTGTAGTTTTAACCACATTGTCTTAAATCTTTGCAATATATTTAGATAATTCTTAGAAATTATAAATGAAACACAAGACAATTTCTGATCTAGTTAGATACAATGTAACTGTTAAAAATGTTTTTAATTTCTTCATAACTTTCAGACAGGAGGAGAAATTAAGCTGGTACTAACCTAGATGTTTTCTTCCTGAAGGTTATCTTTCACAGTTACTAAAAGCTGCAGTGCAGGCTACTGGGAAAGAAAAGTCAGCACCAGTCTTAGCGAACTGTGAATTCTGAGTTACAGTAACCAGTCTGACAAGATATTCCTTCCGGTGCAACAGTAATGTGAACATTATGGGAATAATCATCTACTTCCTAATTGGGTTTAAGGATCACTATATAGAAGGTAACTCATGCCTGGTGCTGAAAACCTGGCCAAGGACCATTGCCAGGTAGCTCATAGGCTCTAAGGGAGAACATATTATTGTTATTTTGCTAAGTAGACATATCAGACTGTCTTCTAAACTAACTTTATACCCAAAATTTAGTGCAGTCTTCATAAGAAAAGTTTCTTTTTATAGTGAATGGAAGTTGTGGTTGCTTGAATAAAAATGGCCCCCATTGGCATATTAGAAAGTGTGAATTTATAAGAGTAGGTATGGTTTATTAAAGGAGGTATATCAATGGGAGTGGGTTTTCAAGTCTCAAAAGCTCAAGTCAGGTCTAGAAGCTCATTCTCTTCCCACTGCTTGCAGATATAGAACTCTCAGCTCCTTTTCCAGCACGATGTCATCCTGCATGCTGTTGTTACAAAAATGGATTAAACCTCTGAACTGTACTCCAGTCCCAATTAAATGTTTTCCTTTATAAGATGTGGTCATGGTGTCTCTTCACAGCAATAGAAACCCTAACAAAAATAGAAGTTAATTCAGAGATTCACTGTTGGTCAAAATGTGAAAAATACGTGACTATGGATGGAGTATTTAGCCTTAAATGGGGCATATGTATCATACTGCTTCCCTGGAAGGCTCCTAGAACAATGAGGACAGAAAGATTGTAAAGAGTCATAAGTAGGGAAGGCTGGGGGAACAGTGCCTATTGGACCTGACAGGCCTGCTGCCCTCATGAGCTCACAGCAACTGGGGATGCCTGTATAAGATAAAGCCACTAAACACTGCAGCATGAATTGGAAGGAAAGCACGCCCAGCTTGGGAAGGAAAGTCAGTTTTCTTCAGGGAAATGGTAACTGATAGGCTGGCTACTGCTGCAATAGCTATCCCCACACCCATGAACATATTGGTGATTCTAATTGGATTTAATAAATTTCCTTTTTTCTAAATGAAAAAAAATGTTAAGTATGGAAGGGTTACAGAGTGGAGGGTGATCCAGGGTGACTTGAAGGGGGAAGTGGAGTAGTTATGATCAAAATACACCACTAACATTGATGAAATGCTCAAAGAGCATGCACATGTGCCCCCCTCCCCACACACAAACAATAACTGAAATGCTATGGAACATGAATTTAAAAAAAAAAAACAGAATGATAAAAATACAGAGGAATTAATAAAACCATGCATACTTGATCATCTTTCAGAGGGTGCCAAAACCACACAAAGCCAAAAGGAGAGTTTCTTCAACAAATGGGTGTGAAATAAATGGGCATCAATATGAAAAAAAATGAAATGTGAGTCTTATTTTAAACCACTCGTGCATACTTCTAAATAAAGACTTAAAGCTACAGAGCTAGAAGAAAACAAAGATGATATATTCATGACACCTGTCTTAGCAGTGATCTTTGACTACAGCACGAAAATAGAGGCCACAAAATGAACATAAATTCAAAAATCTTCTGTGAAGCAAAGGAAACAGCAAAATGAAAATGAGACCCAATAAATGGGTCAAAGGGTCTGAGAGATATACACATGAAAATGTTTTTGTTTATTTTGTTTTATTTAAAAGAAATTTTCCAAATTTGAAGCCAGACTGATCTACACAGCCAGTTCCAAGCTAACTAGAACTATATCCTAACATAATGAAATCTGTGTCCACACCCAGAAAGGGGGTTCACTCCCACATTTTGATTTAAAAAACTACTGCAACTCAATAGTCAAAAACAAACAAATAACCAAATGAGTAATCTAATTAAAACTGAGCAAAACTTAAATGAGCAGTTCTCCAAAGTCATAAAAAGGATTCACAGGTATATAAAAATTGTTCTCAGCCTTTTCATCTTCAGGCAAATGCAAGCCACAGACCATATCATACACCTTGCTACAAAGGATATTATAATAAGGAAATAGATGATGACAGGTGTTAGTAGTGGTACTAGGTTCCATGAAAAGCAATATTGCAAATCCTTCAAAGATTTAAAAACTACCCTATGATCCGGCCATCCCCTTTTCTGGCATTTATCCAATAGAATTAAATTGGTGATCCAAATAGCCAATTGCTTGACCATGTTCATTGTGGTACTATTCACACAAGTCAAGAGCTTGAAATAACCTGAGTGTCTTTAAACTGATAGATGAATAAAGAAAATTTAACATATATGCAGTAGAATGTTCTTCACTGTTAAAAAAAAAAAAGACTCCAGTAACTTAAGGCAGCATAGATGGAACTAGAGATCATTATGCTAAGAAATCTGGGCACAGAAAGAACATTATCATCTATATGAAGGATCTAAAGGTATTATCTTCTAGGTTTGAAAATAATAGTTATGTGGGATTCCCCCTATGTATGCTGTGAACACCATTGGTTAATAAGGAAACTGTCTTGGGCCTGCATAGGGAATAGAGGTCGGCAGGAAAAACTAAACTGAATGCTGGGAGAAGGAAGACCGAGTCAGGGAGAAGCCCCACAGCACACAGATGCCGGAACCTTGCCGGTGGAACACAAGCCCCATGGTAAAATATAAAATAATGGAGATAGGTTCATTCTAGATATAAGAGCCAGCTAGCAATACGCTTTAAGCTATTGTCCAAACAGTATTACAAATAATATGGTTTCTGTGTGATTATTTCGGGGCTGAGCAGTCAGGAACCAACAATGGACTCTTCACAACAGAATAGTGATGACCTGGGGCTACAGAGACTGTAAGAGGGAATAGATAAATAGTGAAAGGCTGATTACTGAATGCGAGTACAGCTGAAGAAGTAACTGTGATATACTAGTGTGCAGTAGGGTGACCAGACAGTAATATACTATGCATTTCTGAGAACTACCTTAGCTGAGCAGTGATGGAGTGTGCCTTTAATCCCAGTACTAGGGAGGCAGAGGTAGGCAGATCTCTGGGAATTCAAGGCCAGCCTGGTCTACAAGAGCTAGTTTCAAGACAGGCTCCAAAGCTACAGAGAAACCTTGTCTCAAAAAACAAAACAAAACAAAACAAAAGGAACTATCTTAAATAAATGTGTGAGGAGATATAAAAATTTATACTCATTAAAATATGAGATGGTATACACAACTATAAGTTAACAAATAATTTTAAAAACAAAAATTCAGTTAAATATCTAAGAAATTTTTTATTTAGACAACAAAAGATAGTATGGAAAACTGCTTCGAGTTCAAGTTTAATCAGGTTTTTCTAATTAAAGTCAGGCGTACTATTAAAGATAACAGAAAAATGATGGCAAAAAAAGAAAATGAAAATCTAAAAGCCTACACACACACACACACACACACACGCATGCACATTTACATATAATTTAATAATTGTGAAAAAGAATGAATTAGTAACATCTGAAACATTAGACTCTCCACTTTGAAAAAGCTGCCTAATCTCATATTATTCACTGAAATACAGCACACACTAGAGAGATACATCTAGTTTATGACACAAAGGAATTTCAGTCTAGGGTCAGAATATTACAAAGAGGATTTCTAACCCCAAGCATCTCTAAGTCCATCTCTAGTCTATTAGATTGGAGCTCTATGAAGTCTCCAGATAGTAGATGCCTCATGAACTAGACAAGCATACTCAATAGGATAATTTTCATTTTCTTAAACATAGGTGAAAAATGATCCTTCAAGGAGTAGACTTATGCTGCAGGAATATCAAAAGGTTTTAGAAATTTAAGATCTCTCTCTCTCAGCCCTTGGGAAGTTAAGGCAGAGGACTGTCACAAGTCTGAAGCAAGCCTGGGTGACACAGTTACAGTTTTAGGACAACCTGGACTGCAGAATAAAAAACTGTCTAAGCCCACAACCCTAAATTTAAAAGACCTGGCTTATATCCAACTTTGGGAACAACAATTCAAAAGGCAATAACTGGGCAGCACCGCATTAGTTCAGTCATCTAGAAAGCACTTTGTCGTCACATCCTGAACTGTGTGCTGAAGACATTAAAGACGTTAAAGATTACAAGGACTGGTGTTCTTCCAGAGGACTCTGATTTGATTCCTAGAACTCACAGGGGAGCTCACAACCTTCTATCTGTAACTCCAGTCCTAGGAGATCTGAAACTCTCTTCAGGTCCCACTGTGAAGGAAGTACACATAAACGGTACATACAGGGTATTAACATTCTACTTTGAAAAATTATTAATTAGGGTCAAAATAGTAACATCTGGAGAGAAATAATAATATTGCAGGCAGTCACCTGAAACTAATGTGCATAGAGACAGGAATGCTACTTGAACCATTTCCTACTGTCTTTCATTCAGAATTTCAAATATGAGTATAATCAATAATTATAAAAAAGATAGTTTGTATATAAAATGTGCTCAAGTTTAAAAAGTATCTGTATACTGTTTGCTTTGAAAGAGTCTATTTTAAAATAGACCAAGGGTGATTTATCATTTTCCAGCCCCAGTTAAACATGCAAGACAACAGAAATAGAACAATTAAGTGTAACACAGTGCATCTATTTATATAATAACTATACAATAAATCCATCTACAAATACATCTTAGACTAATTTTTTAACATAACAAATAAAAAAGTTTCTTACCTTTCTTCTGGAGTATCTACATGAAATGTTCTCTCTATAACAGTGGTCCACTGAAGACATCTGATAATAAATGTATTTGGCTTTGGTCGTTCTGTTTTCATTAACTGGCATTCTACAAATAAAGTTAAACATCTCTTTATATACACAAGTACTTAAACTGTTAAGTAAGTAGTTAACAACTACACAGTATGTTATTCTGAACAGAACGCACTCCCACTGTCTGTCTTCCACAGAGTCAAGGTTATTCTCAACCCGACCTTCGTGTTTCTTCCCAGCTCATCACTACTATGACCAGTTCAACCAGCTAAACCAAGGCCAGCTGGACTGTGACTGAAAAAGCATGGGATAAAACCGGACTCTCTGATCATGGCGAACAATGAGGACTGATGAGAAGCCAAGGTCAATGGCAAGGGGTTCTGATCCTACTTCATGTTCCGGCTTGGGAGCCTAGCCAGTTTGGATGTTCACCTTCCTAGACATGGACGGAGGGGGGAGGACCTTGGACTTTCCACAGGGCAGGGAACCATGACTGCTCTTTGGANGAGGGAGAGGGAAATGGGAGGCTGGGAGGAGGCGGAAACTTTTTTTATCTTATTCTCAATAAAAAAAAAAAAACATGAAAAAAAACAAACTCTTGAATTTTTTCCAAACACAACTTGTTCTTTCTGTATCTTTAACTTTGCTTCAGCAGCTACTACTACCTGAAACAACTATTCATTTTACCCTCCAAATCTGTAAGCCCCAACTGTCATAGCAATACCAATCCTTTAAGGGCTAAGTGAAATCATACTCATTTCATTCAAATTATTATTATTATTATTATTATTATTATTATTATTATTATTATTATTATTATTATTATTTTACTTTTTGGCACAGACTTGCCATTTCACCCTCTATAGTTTCATTATGCAACTTGTTTTTCACCTGATATTGTACTACAGGACCAAACATATTAAGGTAGTTTCTACCCTATGAAGTCGTCTAAAACAATAGACTTCTTATAATTCTTGGTATCAAGACTTACTAGAATTAGTCAGTCATGAACTGATTAGATTCTGTCAAGGAATATCTAGGAAGACTTTCAAAGAAAAGATTGTTCCTTTTCCCCTGTTCTCTAATCTTAATACTACTTTAACTTGATTGCATTGAATTAAAAAAATACATTTTTACATTTTTCCTTACTTCCCTTCCTTCATTTACCTAACTTTGTTTATGAAAACTTCATCACTGATAAGTCTTCTAATCTTCTTTATCCCCTTAATCTCTTATTCTTTTCTACCCCTTTATAATATTCTTTTCAATTTCCCCTCTTAATTTATATCTTCTTGCTTCTCCTCTATTTCTATCCTTCCCTGTTCCTGACTGTGTTAGCTTGAATGAAAATACTCCCATTTAATCATTTGTTTAAATGTTTGGTCCAAAGTTGGGAAGGCCTTGATGGAAACGGTGTCGAAGTAGGGCTGATCTTTAAGGTTTCAAAAGTCTACACCATTCTCATTCTCTTTCTCTCTCTCTCTCTCTCTCTCTCTCTCTCTCTCTCTCTCT